CACTTTCTGATCTATCAACTCCGACCTGACCATTAGAATTAGAACCACAACCCAATGCAAATCCATCTTCAGTAATTGCAATAGCTTCTGTATAGCCCATAACGACTGAACTAATCTTGAATGGTGATCGAATATATGCAGGATTCTCAGCATCAGAAATTGCGATCCAATTATCACCAAGGCCTCTCATCGAACTAGTTTCACCAAAACTAAACAAAACAGCTTGGGAAGCTTCCAACAGAGAGAAGGATGTTGGTTCGGATTTATCGTTACGATAGGCTATTCTAGCTTTTATCATTTCTTTAAATTTAGCAGTATAGAAAGTAGCCTGATCTTTACGAAACTTGGTATCTTGACTTTGATGGGAGGCATCAATGTGAGGAATACTCATACTAGGAATAATTCCAATAGCACCAAATGATTTGGATTCACCTTGAAGACCACCCGATCCATTGTTTGAAGTTTCGGTTGATTTTGGTTTCTTCTTGAAAATGTTGGTGACGAAAGAAAGCATTTTTTTTAATGTTCTTCTTGATTCGAAAGTGAAATGTGAAAGGAGAGGAGGCCTTCTTTTGAAGTTACCATTTGGAGAACATTGGAAAGTTACATAATTTCTTATGATACTCCAATAGGGTTTTAAAAATCCTATATCTTGCTCAGTGTGCGCGGGCAGCACCAATGCTCTGGAGATTTGACTGAGATGAAAATGAGAGGGTGACGGTTACTTTAATGCGGATTAGTCAACTTTAAATTTTTTAAAATGTGGACTAATCTGACTTTAACTTTTTTCACGATTTGAAACATTTCAATTAAGATTAATTGAATTGATAATTTCCCAATAATAAAACACCACTGATCCACTCATTATCGTTGATACATTACTGACACAAGGACTTCAGGGGTCAATACATGACTCTACAAGCTAACACACACCAAGGTAAAGCCACGGACATGAAAAGTCAATTGTATCAGTAGTACACGGTAGAATTATCAATAATATGAGATTACTACTGATAACTTCCTAATAATTTGATACAAGTTGAACCTAACTTGCTAGAACCAACCACAACTTGCCTTGGCAAGGATCTTAAATGATCTTTGGTTACGATTAAAGCAAATCGGTCTCGGTACATTTCATTAATAATTTACATTAAATGTAAATTTATTAATGAATCTCCTTCATATCATCGGATCAGCTGTACCAATTATATATTAATTATTTAATGTTGTTGGTAATCTTTCGGATCGAATTTAAATAAACCTCTTTCATATGTATAACAAAACATTTTGGATGGACAAATTCATTACAAGCATTGCATTTGAAGGTTGTATGTGATTTACAATGCTTGCAATATTTACATACCCCATATGATGATTTCGGGTTGTTTTTGTCTGGTAGTGTGTTGATGGGAAAATGTTGATTTTGTAAAAACTTATTCAATTCCGAAACATTCAAAGGTGATGCAAATGGTTTGCTAATTTCAACAACTCCAAATTGAGATGGAGTACACAATCCCACTACTACCTCTTCAATAAACTTTCTTTGTTCCATTCCTCTTTTATGATGTCCTTCCGAAATATCCAATGAATTCTTAGCAACAAAAGAATTAACTAATAATAATTTCAGTAATCCATAACAACAAGCTCGAGTCCACTTCCTTTTTCTATGCTTATACAAATATAAACAAAGAGTGGAATCGAATCTATCAACGGAATTCATGTGCTTGTTGTAATCAATTAATAGCCCAGGTCGTTTACGTTTCCGAGCTTCATTAATTATTTCAGTACTTCCAATAGATGAAATGATATTCACCTTTGATGAATCATACATTGTCAAAGCACACAATTTCTTATCATCAGAAACAAGAAATTGTGTGTCTCCTTGTTTTGATGTTTTTTTCTGTAAATAATTTTTAAATAATTCCGAAGGTCTGTCACATCTACAACTCAAAATTGTCTCGACATTATAATCCTTCACTAATGTTTTAGCCAATGAATCTGATCCAAAGAATTGATCTGCTAAAACAACATATTTCAAATTATCATCTCTTTTTGGTAATTTTTTAACCATTGTTAAAACATAATCCTCCACAGTACTTGCTTCGTTTTCTGGATTATCCTTTCCGAGATAAATCCAAAAGTGATACATGTAACCATCTCCATCACAAAGTGAAAATAATTTAATTCCTGTAGAATGTGGTTTTCCAAATACATGTTGTCTTCCTTTCCATCTTCCCTTGAAGGGAATGATTGTTTCGTCAACAGTAACGAAAACATTGGCCTTCCAATACCTTTTAGATATTTCATTTACTTTTTTAGCTAATGCCAAAATATCAAAATGAAATGCAGAATTAACAGCATAGAATAATTCACGTTTAATTACTTTTGAAATGAATGGACAATGAAAGTAAGGATTTTTGTTAGTGACTGACCGAAAATAATCATTAGTGGAAGGAAAATGTATCAAACCCATTAAATAAATAATTCCAATAAATATTTTAATTAAATTACTATCCACAACTAATATTTTGCCTTCATACATAATGCCATTCTTATTACTGTAATTGTTTGTATATTCAACAAAATGTTCCAAAATTTCCAAGTTCAAATATTGTATAAATATATTATAACTAGTATCGTTTTTGAGGTTGATAGGTTTTCCACTTGCAGAAGAAATTGGGTTATTAAATTTATCTTGTGTTTTCCATCCGTTAGGAATTGTTGTTGCTGTTTTAATTTTCTTATTATTTGTATTGATTTCGGAAGGAGGTTTTCTCTTATTTTGATTATTATCATTTGATTGATTGTTTTGTGATGGAATTTGTGATGAAGAATTATTTAAATTATTATTTTGTGTAGATGATTGAGTAATATTTTGTGATGAATTTTGGGGTGTAGGATGGGATCTTGAAATATGTTGTTTTATTCCTCTTTTCGTAAAGCATTTACCACACTGTTGACAAACTACATCCTTCACACCTACTGTCATTTTTTACTGCGCAACAATCATGACTTTGAATTTTTAATTAAAAACGTTCATCTAAAAATAAAAAACAAACTACCACCGCCCTTTTTAAAGATTGTATCTCAATAATCTGCAATAGCTTTGAGATTGCATTCAAAAGGAAGGTACTGAACAAGATATATTACAACATTTAGTAAATAAATTATATTTAATTTCTTACCTAAATTCATTGGCATGATAGTAAGGATGAAGAAAATGAGGACGAGGAGAACATTATGATATTGTTGTTGTTGATGTTGTTGTAACATTTTTTAAGGCTATTAATATCATCATGTTCATGAACACAGGAGAATACAACGATTAAGCGCGCCCGAGTATATTTGTTTTGATGATATGGCTAAGGAAATAATATTTGTTCTGATGATTAATTAATTGTTATTGGTTGAGGAATTTAAACGATGGTGTGATGGTGGTAATGATATTAAATAACTGCCTTGGTTGAAGAGTTGATGATAGAGAGTGTGTTGAGTAAATTTGTGCAATCTATTCATGAAGATTTCTTCTCCGAAATGTATTTTGAGAATTGGTATTGGTATTATTAATCCATCATGATGAGAGCCACAAGCAGTTTTCACTAATTTTTTAATTTGTTGTTTTTTGTTTAATTTTCATAACGGAAACAACCG